ACGGTAGTCGATACAAAAACGTACCGACCCGTCACGTTTACGTACTAAAACTGGGGGTGATGCCCACTCAGAAACAGAAGGTTGGATGACTCCCGCTTCTAGCATCTTATTGATTTCTTTCTCCTCCTCACCAGCGAAACGTAACGGCGTTGGCCGAAGACGTTGTTTAATAGGAGGAGCATCCCCAGTATCAATTCGGTGCTCGATCTCTGCGAAAGTGCCAATATCAAACTGATGTGCGGCGAAGGCATCCTGGTACTGAACGAGTAATGCAGTGAGTGCTTGGAACTCTGAGTCTGAAAGAGAAGACTTAGAAACATTTAACATTCCAATCAAATGTTCAGGTACCCCAGGTGTAATCCCTTCCCCCATGGCAACTTCGTCGTCATCTCCAGTGACTGAACTTATTCTTGGTGACTCGGTGTTCATCACGTCGAATTGCTCAGTCTCCATGGCCATACCTATTTTCCTACCCCTCTTCATGGTTACATAATTATCAGACATATTCACTACACAAATGCATGGTGTATCAATGCAACGGTGCAGCGTAGCCGGAATCGCTACCTTCTCGATAGGGTCTGGTTCTATGAAGAAATCAGGCATAGGTAAGTTATCATTAATTAAATGACATTTAACATGTGCAGCACAATGAGGTGGTATTACTCTACGTTTGGCAACAAATACTTGGGCTACTCTCGAGTCAGGTGTCGCCTCCCCTCTAAGAGATATGGTGCTGTCACCAATAGTTAATAGTAGCTTCCCGAAGTCAATTACAGCTTTGTTGGGATGGAGGAAATCCCCACCCAATAACATCTCATCATTTATAGGAGCTACATAGAAAAATGTATTATACTCGTTTGAACCTAAACGAAAGTTAACAGGGCCCACCTTATAGCCTGGCATGGATGTTCCCCTCCCAGCTAGGGTAAAGGATAATTTGGCTACAATAGGTGGTGCTGGTTCAAGGCTAGAGTATACCCTATCAGAGAGGATGGTGTAATCGGC